CACATCCACGCGAAAAAGTACAGCCCGTATTTTCATCATGCCATTTATAGCGTCACTGAACGCGTTTGTCCGATTCTAAAATTTGATTTGCTTAATGTAAATGATTGTATCCAAGATCGAAGCGATCTCGGGAATCAAACGAGCGACGTTCAGCGTTAAATAAACACGCCCGGAAAATATAGGCCAAAAGGCGTATGTATCTTCCTTTCCCTGGTATCACTATTGTAGCAAGTGTCGTTTCTCGCGAGTGTGCCACTCGAGACCGCAGATTGCGCCTCGTCCCAAATTTCGATCACTCTACGCGACGGTTTCGCTCCGACGGCCGATTTTCACGACGGCGTCGCGACGCGCCCTCGGACTCTCGTTTCTTCTCGTCTCATCGCGTCATTTGTTCGACAGATCGGCCGTCAAACTGCTCGACGCCGTTATACTCGTATACTTATCGATTACGTAGCGCGCGCACGTGATGAGCTAGAAAATTATGCTAAATCGGAGGACGTCCTGGGTGAATCTCCCGTCGATCGGCCGCGCCGTCTCGAAATCGTCGGTGATCCCCGTACGATGTCAATCGTTCCAGCGATTCTGTAAGGCCCGTTTACACCGCAGATCTTTTTTTTTTAGGGATATTACATCAGCCCGTACCGAATTGATAAGATCCGTAGACGTAATAGATATAGATTGCGCATTCTCTGATTTTAATATCTGTATTCCATTGGAAAGAATTGAAAAGAATATTTTAGAGAAAAGAGCAAGAGAGAGCGAGAAAGAGAGAGGGGGGGGGAGGATTTAACCTACACTGAAAGATTTTTAGCATAATAATAATTATATATACAGTTCTATCAACAAATATACATATATAACTGACAACCGAAAATTATAATTATAGTTATTATTACCATAAAAACGGTTACAATTATTATAATTTTATTATACTTTATAGCTATTTTTTGGGCCAATCATATTTTATATGGTTATCCCAAAAATAATTTACAGTTAAATTAAAATAAATACAACTATTTATATGGTAATAATAATTATAATTATAGCAATTTCGATTGAACTATTTATTGATAGAATTAAACGTGTAGTTATTATTACTAACAATACAACAATAAAAATTATAATTACAATATGATGATATGTAATATAATTATAGTCACAAATATCGATAACTTTTCTCTCAGTACAACTTCGTAGAATGTCTATTTCTATTACGTCTATGGGTAGACCTACGTAAGAAAATTTGCAGAAAATATGAGGAAGAGATTGTACGAAAGAATGAAACCGCCGACGCTTCGTTTAACAAAGCTCGTTTGGTTGAGCAAATTACTATAATTATTTATTGAATCAGTGATTACGAATTAGTTGATTCAATTACGATTCAATAAACGCAATTCGAATTATTATAAATATTACAATCGTACAACGTTTCTCTCTCGTTATATTTGAGTCCTACGCTGCATCATGTTACACTTTTAACAATATTTTAATTAGATGTTACATATCGCGATATTAAGTTTTGCAATATTTGATATATATTCTAGCTGACTTATATATTACTATAGAAAACAGTTATAATTTTAGAATAACGTTCGTAACGATTACCCTAACAACATTCCTAACAGCATCGTGTCGAGAAATCGCGTGGTGTAAACGGCCCTTCAGTCTCTCCTCCCTGCGTGCTCACGAATTACCACTCGCGATTCGTTGTGCTCGAAATTGTTCCTCGCGTCGCGCCATTTATTTCCTCGTCCTGTTTTCCGTCGCGTGCGTCCCGAGGATCACACAATTGTATCACAATTCCTTCCCGTCCGTGTGCATTTTCGTGCTCCGCTGGGCGCCATAGACTTATTTACGTTTTCGCGAAATGATTGTCGGCAATGATCGATAATCACCTGAAACCGTCCTCGGGAAAAACGAATTCGCAATGACTTTCGGGTTTGATTTGATTTGCTCGATGGACTCTCTTCCCGCGCCGGTGGATCGCCGATGGTCGGTGCGCGATTTACGGTCGTCCGTGAGATTCTGGAGCGATCGACGATCCCGATCGGCACGCGATCGACTATCGTCGACGATCCATTTTGCATATCTGCTTGATGAATACACTGTCGCTGCCTCACGTTTAAGCAGTTCATCAGTAGATGTGTATATGCATGTATATATGTGTGTGTGTGTGTGTGTGTGTGTGTGTGTGTGTGTTTCTGCATGCGTGCTATGACACTGTTTAGCCGATGACACTTCACTGTACCAAACAGCTATTGGATGTATTAAGTCCCACGCCACGTTTATGTTTACATATTTATATCTGACTATTTAATCGGAACACTTCGACGTTATTCATTACTTCTGTGTATCATTTTTGGCGTCTTTTGAACGATTACGTATCACTTTGTCGTTCCGTACAGCTTCGTTAAATGAGGCAGGGAGAGCGAGCTGGTAACGGGGATGTTTGCCACGACCTACGACGACTGTAATTTAATGTTACGCTTTGCTAAAATTATTTTGCTAAATACGCGAAATTTTATATATGTTACACTGCAATTAACACTCTACATTAGCAACTATAAGAAGAAGAAATGATATTTTTTTGGGAAAACAAAAATTAATTATTCATTTAACTATTACAAGACATTCCTGAATTAACATTAACCATTCACCTGCCCATTACGGCGTTAAGAAGTCCTATAATATTTATTTATTTATTTATTTTACGTCTATATATCGTGAATTTTCTCCGAGATTAGTGCCATTAATCTTGAAGTGCAATGTAAGCCTTCCACAGGTAGTAATGACTGTAATGATAAAATATGAATAAAGTTTTTAAATAATACGAGATCAAAAAGTGCTCAGTAACGTCGATGGAATAAACAAGGTAGAAGATCAATTGCAATAATCCGAATGTTTGCGCAAATAAAATATCGATCTATATAGTCCACATATAATATGCAATAACAAGCGGATCCGGGAATCGGTTCGGTAATTAGTCGCGCGCGATTAAAAGATTCGCCCAACGAGTTTACGTTAATGAGGCCTTCGGAGGATTTCCGGCACCCGGCTCAAGGATTAATTATTTAATTAGCTCGCTTGAGGTCACAAGTTTCCTTTTATACCCCCAGCGATAGCAACGACTCCGGATTATCGACTTACAAATATTACGCTCTTATATGCGATCGACGAATTGATACTTATACTTCTTCTTCCATTTATTACATCTTTTTTCTCAAGTAAAATACTTTCTTGATAAAAAATAAATAGCACAAACAATGGCAAATGTAAAATTGATTTTATGCTAGAAATATAATTACTTGGTGAAAATTTTTGTTTCGTATATAGAATCTTTAAGCCATCGAAGTCAGATTCGGACTTTGTCTCTTCACCGACAAACAATATTACAGATACTCTTATAGCAAAAAAGTCACATCATGACAGTCACGGATAAATTGTGATATAACTGTGAGATTAAAAAAAAGTTACAGTAACATCACATCTTATCTTGATCTGTATACGTCATAGCAACGTCACAGTGAGGCGCAACTTTTGTCACAGCTGCTAACGATTCATTCCTGTGACAAAGGGGACATTCGCACGTCACCTTTGTTATGACATTATATCTGTGACAAAGCTTCACATATCATCCTGACTCTGTTGTGATATCATTGTGATTTTTGGCAAAGAATGGAATGGAAATGATGACTGTTAGAAAAGCGCGAAAGACGGTTTTGGAAAGCTCGGTAACGTCAAGTCACAGTCGTCGAAAGGTTTGGCAGCGCGAAGTCGAGCAACGAGACTATGCGATCCACCGAAATATAAATCGTCGTCGCGGTAGGCATGGCCCCCCCCCCCCCCCCCATAATATGTATACGTCGATCGCTCTCGCAGCGCTCGATCACGATCCACGACGGATTCACCGAGGTCCTCGAGGACTCGAGTACGCGTGACTATGTACGGAAAGCAGGGGTGGTCCAACTTGGCAGTTTTCTTTTTTTTTTCTTTTTATTTCTTTAACCGCAATTTGCTCGCTTTCGTCACGTTCGCCATTCTCTCTGTGTGTACGTGCTCGCTCGTTGGTTACGCTGTATACTCGTGCGGCTCGTACGATCCGGACGAATGAGCGGCCGATCGATCGATCGACCCTCTTCCGCCGATCGGCTGAATATAAGCGACGCGTCGACCACTCTCTTGTGCGCTTGTATATTTCTTGTGTGTACACACACACACACACACACACACGCACGCGCGCGCATACACACACACACACGCACACACGCAAATACACGCGCACACACATACACACACACACACATACACCACATACGCATACATCCACGCACATATACATACACACACGTGCACACACCGATAATACGCGGTGCGAAAATATCTGGCGGGTTTTTGCGGAAATGCGGAGGTAGGGATCGCTTGTGGTTTCGCGTACGTCAGCTTTCGAGCACGTGGATAATAGGAGGGTTTTATTGGAGAGGGAACGTGGAAAAATATATCGAGCGTATGGAGGGTCGATCGCGCGATCGTTGGTGGCGTAAGTTTCACTCGTGCTTCGGTCGGGCTCGGCCTTTCTAGAGAGATGCGCGCCGCTAAATCGCGTTCCGTTTACTCGCGGATAATGCACGAGGGAAGAAGGAAATATTCGTCGAACGAAACAGACGAAACAGAGTTCGCACCCTTATGACGGGGTACTTGCCATTGGTCGCGGTAACTGCGCGCGCGCGTTCACCCTGTCGATCGTCCAGGCCGCACTTTTACTTTCCTACCGTTTTTGAAAAGGTTGAACACCCCTGACTCGAGTTTGCTATTTGGCAGTAAACATTTTTAAGTCCGTCTCGGCTCCCTACGAGAGACCCTCGACAGATCGCAGAGTTTAATTAATTACGACTCGGTCGTAACGCGCGTGCGTGCGTGCGTGCGTGCATGCGCGCGCGCGCAAAGCGACTAACAGTAATTATCGTTAATTATTATTCTCATTATTATAAGAAATATCGTTATTGTTTCTATTATCGAAAGGCCGCAACAACGCTTTTCCGAGGACTGCGCGATCTCCTTTGTCTCGTGACGCCGTCGACTTGTCGCGCGTTCCTTCCTCGCGAAATCGCATTGGTCGTCGAAATGAAATCGATCGCCGATCGCCAAACGGAAGTTACGGCGATCGCCGGTCGATATCGCGATCGATAGGAGCTCGCGAAACGTTAATTGGATCCGCTCGACAGCACGTGCTATCTCTTTCCCTTATTACGCCTGCACCTACCTTCGTCTACGATCTAGAGGCATCCCTCTAAATCTCCATCCAGTTCGCGTCGCGCGACTATCTTACTGGTTCCGCACTAGAAATGTTAATTAAGTCACTTAAACGAAATAACGCAGTCGGTAACGGAGCGTGACGTCGGCGATCGGATCCTTGTTCCCATTCCTTTCGTGTTCTCTCCTCTTGAATCCGGAAACGTTTCCCAAGCGTGTTGTTCTCCGCTAAAAAAAAAAATTGCAACGGCGTTCGCCGTCGAGCTGCCGCTCGCCGGAAGTCCATCCTCCCCGTGCAGGCTTTTTCTGCGAACGTCGTCAATGGTCTCACTCTTGCTTGCCTCCTTTCGCGTCTAAGCGAAAGCACGTCGCGAAAAGGAACCGGGCGCACAAACCGGCGGTGATTCCCAGCTGTGAGAAATTCAAGAACGCGAGATCGCGTTCCCTTGTTCCCTCGAGAGAGGTGAGTCGCGCAGAAGGGCGTGAAAGGGGCTAACGTGTCCGTTTCTTTCTTTTTCTCTGCACTTTTCCCGTTTTCACTTCGACGTGCTCCTAGCGTAGCCGCCTCCTCGAATCATGCCGGACGTCGTTCCTGCGAAAAAGAGAGAAGGAAGCATGAGTGTACCGCGATACGTCCGACTATTGACTTTTGAGAGATTGACATTATGGGTGAGGGATTTTCCGAGATGTTGTACCGAGGGATCGATTTTTGCGAGCTTACTTTGCCATTAAGACCAACCGGGCTTTTAGTTCCAGCAATTCTAAAGCTCGAGGTATGAACTTTCAACTTTTTGAGATCTCTCTAATATATTCCGATAACTTTGAAATCTTCAACTGTGGTAAACGCTGTGCAGTTAAGTTCGGGAAGATTAAGAGAAATTGAAATATTGAAGGGTAATCAGACCGGAAATTTTTTAGATCAGTAAAAAAAAGAAGCAAAAATTAATTTAACCTGTATATGTAATTTTTTTCCATTTACCGGGAATATTTTTCTAGACATTTTTTAATATAAAAACGTGTGCAAGAGAACCGATGAGCAAGAACTCATTAACATTCTAGCTTTTTCGGCGTTATAATTATATAATTTAAACAATAAATTTTCCTTTACGTATATTGTTATCTCATGTATATTAAAACTCTCGTAATTTAATAGATAATTATATAAGTGAACAATAACTATTCTTTTGTACACTAATCACATTTAGTTCGAAGCTATTAGATCGTGCTATTCAAAGCCAATCTTCGATAATCAAGCAACGAGTGTCCGAGTACTTGAAATCATGTAATCAAATGGTTATATATTCAGGTTAATGCATAAATAATTGTGCTCCGGAGTGCGCTACGGAGGTACCGACTGGCAATTAGTGCGACGAAATTGCGAATAGAGACATTCGCGTTGCCACGATTGAATATTTTCAGCGCGCGCGACGGCCAATGAGCTCAGCTTGTTAACATTTCCACGCAGTATTAACTGTGTTACGGTCATCTGGCCTGCGTCATTCGAACATAATGATCATAGCCTATCTGATCCGCGCGTGTGAAATTAACATGCCGATTTCGGTCTCTCGAGCGAATACCTAGCGGCGATGCTCGATCAAGCGAAATCGTGATTTTCGAGCAACCTCAACGGCAATTTTGGCATAAAAAAAGCTGTGTGCAAAAAGTGCAATCATAGAGACAATTATTTACATATGATAAAATATATAATATAAAGTTTATTCTTACCGAATATTCCAGGAGGCGCTATCCCTGGCATGTTTTGTGTATTTTTTCGGTTCGACCGGGGCAGTCTATTACTGGACGATTATGTGTGGCGCGCGACACAGTATCACCACCGTAGCCAAAACCGTAAATAACGTGAAGACGAACAGACAAAGCCTTGATTCCACAGGAGAGAAATTTGAATATTAGTTTCACAAGAGTCGAATGTTTCAATAATAGATTAAATAAATAGTGAAGAGGTAGAATATACAGTGGATAATTAGAAATAAATATTAAATTAATTAATTATAAAAAATGGAATTAATTAGGTTACTGAAAGAAAGTTATTTTAAGACTCGTTTTTATGATATATGGTATTTAAAGATTAAAGATTAAAAAATATTACTAAAAGATTTATTAATAAAAGAAATAAAGAAATTCATTCATGAATTTCTTGGTAATCTTTAATCCTTAGGTAATCATATGTGAATCACATATATTGTGAAAAGTCTAAACTTTATTACAAGTTCATTAATGAGTCACTTTTCAATCCTATAGATATATAAATTTCTTATAATTGAAATTACTGAGCAAATAAATTTCTCCGCTTGACCTCGTGTGATAAGTGAGATCCAAGTAAATGAAATTATTGAGCAGAAAAATTTTGAATAGTTAAAACAAATAAAAGTTTCAAACAATCACGTAATGGATTCGTCCGACGAATCGATGGTCCGGCGTCTAAACGACAAGTTTTTTCACCGTGCGAAGAAACAAGGACCTGAATTTCGAATTCCAATATAAAAGCTTCTTTGTTCGCGATTTTCCACCAGCGATTCGTCGGACGCCATGTGCGCACGACTGAACTGAAGCCACATGAAAAATTTAAAACATCCAACCTGTCGACCACCATAGCGGCGAACTTCCAGTCGCTAATGATCTCGTCATCCTCGTCCGACTTTTTCATGCGGCTTGTGATGAACTGCAATTCCTTGAGAATTGTGTGAAGTTCCCTCTGCATGCCGCTGAGAGGCAACGATGCCGAAGTCTCTTCAACCGTCGCCGGCCTGGTCGACAACGGTGTACCGTACGCCGACCTGCTGTAAAAGATCATGCAAATTATTACTCTCAAAGGTATCACACGTTTTTTTCTCAAAATCATCAATAGACATTTGGCATAGATCGTCGGAGAGTTCATGAAATTCCGGCTCTTCAAAGAGACATATTACAGCTGTTGTAATTATTAAAATAGTCCATCTCGGTACATAATATAATGCAAAGTTTATGTAAAATACCATAAATGTAGAAGTTCTACATTCGAAACGACTTGTAAATTGTTATGGTAATTTACAGTTGAGATTCATATTGCTTATGAGCATAGAAATTTTTTTCTTTAACGAGATTTAAATTGCGAACTATATAGAAAGTATTTCGTAAATACTGACATAACCAGGAAGGGAATGATTCTGCTTGAAAAAATAAATCGAAAACTTAGAAAAATAATATATTTTTCCATATGAGACTTTGTTTTTGGGAAAATCGTTTGTAAATATTTGCCGGATACGATTTAATGGATCTAACTGCAAACTATTATCTCTGCTCATATTTATTATATTGGTAATTAAGAATGTACAATAAAACAGCACGATGAATTTTATTATTTCATAAATTGTTGAATATGTTGCCTGAAAATAAAGCTTTATTTCGAAAAATTGTATTCTACGTTTTAGATTACATGTTAATAAAATCACTCTCTTCTCTACGATTGTATGCGATTGTATTCCTATTTACAGAATATTATATTTATTTTTATATATCTCATTTTTATATATATATATTTATTGTATATATCTCTTTTATAATTTTTATTTTATACTATTTTATATAGTCAATTAAATGCTTACAGAAAAATCTAGAATGAACAGTTTTTTTCCTTGAGTTTTTTGTAAGATTATTTCATAATCAAAAGTCTAACAAGTATTTTAATATTTTTTTAACTCCACTTAATTGGTATTCGCTCCGAAATTTCCTTAACTACATTCGCTGGTACAATATTTTAAATTAATATATCTTTGCTTAAAGTTAACGTAATTGAACGATTTTTTTTTTTTAATTGTGAAAGTCCAAATTCGAGGAGTAAGATTATGTAACTCAAAATTATGTAAGGTTGTGAAAAACATTTGTTATAAACAATTTTTCACAACGTAGTTAAAGAAAACGTCCATTGGATTTGTGAATAAAGAACTTGAAAATATTAAAATTATCACGGTACATATGCATTTGAATTGGACCACTACGTCACAGAGCTCGGTTATCGGATAGTTCCACGACGTGACAGAAAAGCGAAGAAGAGATGGAGGAGAAAACGAATTGC